TGTACGTGGTGACACATAAAAGGTACTTCCCTGTCGAAGTATTTGAACTGTTAACCTTCTTATAGTCAGGAAGAAGCAGGAACCACCCAACCAACAGCAGTCATTTCAGTGGAAGTGCATCATTTAAAGATGTTTTCACTGCTACATTACCCAGGATTTTTGCGGATCTTTGGAAACACAGGATGTTTTCTTCCAACAGATCGACTGTGTAGGTTTTGGCATTGTTTGCGTTGTCATCTTGTCAGCAGACTGGTAACCGCGAGCTGTTACCAAACCATTGTGTATTTACTCTCAATGATATGATAGTGCAAACAATTGGAGTTTCCTCTACTCGTGCAGGTCATTTCTTGTCACAAATGCTACAGCGAATCCCGGCCTGAGTCGTACAGCTCCACGAGAGTGTTTACTGTAGATCCACACACATGTTACAAATATATTTTTCTCTGCGGCTTCGTTGTGCCTTGAAGTTTGGCCGCTAACGCTGGAGAGCAGAAGTTGGAGAGCTAAAACCCATTGTGCCTGCGGTGTCTGGAGGGCTTTTATTTTGGGTTCCATGATTCATTGTGTGTGATCCAATCTGTGCGCACGGGTTTGTTGTTATTCCACGTACGTGTGTGTGCGTGCGCACGCCAACAGGAGAGTGACACTTTGGGAACACGCTGTGGCCTCGAGCTGCAAAACAATGCCCAGATAAACAATAGGATGTAAAGCTGCTCGGAAGAGTCTGACTGGGTACACGATGATGCATGAACACGCCGCCATTACCACTAGACCACAGGATCACTGGCTTTTAATTAGGCAATTCTGTGGAGAGCAAGAATGAATCAGGTATTTCAAGGCAGCAGACCATGTTCTACATACAGAACATTTCACTTCTCTCCCACCAGGCTCTGCTCTGACCAAACATGGGTTTATTTTTAGCATTATTACAACGCACCATCCAGTGAGTAAGCACAGAGGTATTTTAATGTTAATCTATGGCCTTTTGGGAATGGAGCAACACATTGGACTGCGAGAGCAGCGCAGTGTGGGAGTGAGGCACACGTCTAACAGTGTGATGAAGCATGAGGCCAGAGTCGCAAGCAGTGCCAAAACCATGACATGGTGTAATTTACACTGATCGAGTAAAACACCCACAATGCAATGTCATTAATGGTGTGGTAGGTTTGTAATTAAGACGTAAAACAAGGACGTTTCAAAACAAGTAATAAACTAGTGACGGTGAAGGAGGAGCAGAGAAGTAACAAACAAGAATGTTTGTGTAAATCTTGGCCCCAGTGCATCATATCATGTTGTCTAATCCACATTAGGGACAAATATCACTCCTGTAATCGTTGTCTACCAAAAAACTCCTAACTAAGGCTAACCATTGGTTGTGGTAACTCAGTAACACCACCCACATTAGATAACCTGACGTCTGACCAGATCCTAACAGTAACAACAATTTATCTTACCTTATGTGCTGCCTAGTTCATAGCTAACAGTAACCTGCACCCTACGCTTCTCCAAAACGTTAGCGCACATTGATGCAGTGGGAACTCAAGCCTGGTTTTGTACATTGTGAAGTAAAGTAACGTTTCTGTAGATTCAGTCTCAAAGATCATTTTCGGCTCAGAACCCTGCAGATTCAAAATCAGCCCATTGTGTTGTTTGACATACAGCTTTACTCAGCCATAATTTAACGCTACCCTACACAAAGTTAACAATACCTGGACCACGCACCCCCCCACGCACACTTACAGCCGAGCACGCACTCGGTTTATTCAGTTTATTGTGAACGGAGCCAATGTCCTGTGCAGAGGGGAGCGCTGTTATTTTATATAATTCTTCCCAGATGAGGTGGGTGCCATGTTAGTGTGGTGGGGGTGGCTGCCAACCCCAGGAGCAAAGTATAAATAATGGAACAGTGTGACATGAAGTGTAACATGAAAGGCCTCACAGCCTATGTATATATCAGTCCACTGACTATGAGGTCCACTATCTAGAGCAGGGGTGTCAAACTCAATTCCACCAGGGGGCCACATCAGCAATACAGTTCCCCTTAAAGGGCCAGTTGTAAATGAAAGACTGTATAGATCAGGGGTCCCAACCCCTGGTCCGCGGACCAGAACCGGTCCATAAGTCATTTGGTACCGGGCTGCAGTGGGTCACACTGAAAATAAATGTATTTAATTTTTACAAATTTACTTCAGCCAAAGAAAATCCTCTCATATGCATTTACTTTCTTTATTTAAAGATAATCTGGAAATATTTTAAAGTAATAGGTCATTTAGACTCAGATACAAACAGAATGGAGAAAAAGAAGCTACAAATATTGTCCATTGCTGTGTAATAAAAAAAACTTTTAACTTCATAGGTTAAGAAACTCCACACAAAGCGGCTTGGCGGGCCGCATTTGGCCCCCGGGCCTTGAGTTTGACACGTATGATCTAGAGTTTGAGTTAAAGTGAGTCGAAAGACTTGGGTCAAAACCGTAACGTCGCACTCACCTGAGCAGAGTTCTCCTTTGTAGCGGAGACAGTTGAAGTCGTCACACTCGCACAACTTGCCCCAAACTTTTCCAAAGTCACTGCTGTGACACACGCACTGGCCGCACACGCAGTCTCCGCGCCCACTACAGATGGAGTGCGGGCCTCCCGCACCTGTAGGTCCACTGCAGCGGTCCTGCTCTGTGGTGCTGTAGTCGCCCTCTGCACACTCACAGTGTGGGCCCAGGCGACCTGGGTGGCAGAGGCAGATGCCACACTCGTAAGTGCCATTGCCATGGAAACATTTAGGGCTGTCGGGCTGGACTTTGGCTTGGCACTTGCAGTCACACTCGAACGTGACGGTGACGGACAGGGTGTCCTTAAAACCCACCGGCTTGATGATGAAGGTTTTCTTCTTCTGTTTGGGGCAACCGCGAGCTCTGGCCTCCACACTGAAGGAAACCTAAAAAAGAAGCAGAAATGTGATTATCGTGTAATAGTAATATAATATAATAATGTAATTATTATATAATAATATAATAATAATATAAGAGTCCTTTATAACTCTAAAGTAGTATACAAAAAGTAATAATTGCTCATTTTGAAGGTTAGGTATGCAGGTGAATTGAAGTGTGTTTGTTTTCATAAATGCTGCTCTCTAACTGGATTTTCAAACTTAAATTCATCCACCTGCAGCAAAGCCAGAGCCAGGCAGGAACAATGGAGAGCACAGACAGACAGCTGAAATGAGTGAGACTAACGAGCCGTACATAACGAGCATCAACGAGGTGTACTGGTACTATGAGACCTTGGAAACGCGTTCTGTGGTCGGTATTTCTACGTATGTTGAAAAGAAGAAGATACTACGTTCACTAGTAAAAAAAAAAAAAGAAAAATCTAAATTATGATAATGTAAATTATGTAGGATATTTCAAAAGAATTTTCAATTTACAAAGACCATGGAGTATTGAGCAGCGCAAGTCTTTTCTAAAGGAAAATATGTTGAGTGTTTCTGAAGTGTTTGTATTTTTGAAAAGTGAACCTTTTTTTTGGAAATGTGTGTTTTTAGAGAACACAGTTTAAAATTGATAGCAGGCTAGATGAAGGCTGCTGATAAAAGGAACTCGGAGCAAATTTGCCCCGCAGGCCGTGAGTTTGTTACCCTGATTAAAGAAAACATACATACAGTAATGCCTTCATAATAGTCTGATGTGATTTACTAAACCTAAAGGATTTAAGTGACTTTCTTGTTCAGTTTTTATCTGATCGCTCGCCCAAACAGAACAAAGATGTGATGCAGGAATGGCCTCCATATGTATTTAGTAAATGTTCATTGAACATTACGTCTAAATCTGGTAAATGTCCAAAAAGTGGGCAGTTACTACATGTGTTCAAATTGCCATATATGGAAGAAAAAAGCAGAGCCAGAAGAGAAACAAGTGTGTGGAGGCCAACTATGTCACCTGGAGTGAGGAGAGAACAAGGAAAAGAGCCAAGGAAGCTGTGATAGGGAGAAAATGCCAAAAAGGGGGAAGGACAAAGACCCTGTGCAGCTACTTGCTTTAAATGGCAGAAAGGGCGGTATAAATATAGTTCAATTTGAAATCTTCAGTTAAAAATAAAAGTTCACAGACGACACTTGCTTCCATGTGAAAACGGAGAGGGAGGGAGTCCCACATTACAGAACACGTTGATAGCAGCCAAGAGGAATAGAAAGAGGCCAAAACACAATGATGAAAAAGTCAGTAGAAAATAAGAAATGTTATTTTTAGACTCTTAACGTGATTTTTCTGACCTTTTAAGTTCATGTGAATGACAAAGTGGTGTTACCAGTGTTATTAGTTATTACTGTTTTAAACAATAGAGAAATGTGTAACAATCTTTGTTGGCCTAATCTGGTGGTTCCTGCTGTTTGGTTAAATACTTTAGTCTCAATGCTAAGTCTAGAAAAGGTTAGTGTTGTGAGAAACATAACGATTTAAACCGAAACAGAACTGACCGTGTCTCCTATTTTTAATCCAGAGCAGGACCTGAGACCTGGGATGAGCTCTCCATTCAAGCACGTCGCATTAAAGGAGAGCGACAGCTCCTCGGGAACATCTTGGAGTTCCAGTTCTACCTTGGAACGGATTTTCTGACAAAACCAACAAAGACAAACGTCAAGAAAAAAAAAAACAAATGGAGTTTTTTTTTTAATTCTCTTGCTGCTTCCACAGCACACAGTGATTAGGGAACTGTTTTCTAATGACATGCTGGCCTGCTCTGTGCTCATTGTGTATATATGGGTGAAACATTCAAATTAAAAATCACTCCAGTGCTCATTCACCTCTTGTCTGTGTAAGATCAGCCAACAGTCTCCTACATCTGGTCAGCTTTATACGGACTGGACTGAGGTCATGACTCAGACAGGGTGTGTGTCAACAAACACATGTCAGTTCCTCACACTGTCTGGAGTTCTCTTTGTTTGTGTGTGTGTGTGTGTAATTATCAGTGGTTGAAACACTTACGGCATAGGCCTTAAGAATGAGCTGAATAACGTTGCCCGAGTCATTGGACAGTTTTCCCACCGTGGTGCCAGGAATCAGCTCACTGTAGTTCTGCAAGGCATTCATGACACAGGATGAGAATGATTCAGTGTTATATAGATTTGTTCAAAAGTTCCCGTTTCCTCCTGTCTTCCTTCTAATCTACGACTTTACACTTGTAATTTGTGCAAGTCTACGATTCAAAAGAATGTAAATATTCACACAGATTCTCTCACACACACACACACACAAAAGCAGATGGTTGTCACAGTAACAGTTTTACAAAATCTAATGTTATGGTATTTTGATTTGACCCAAGATTCATCTCCGGTTTCCATTCTTCCAAAGTGGGTTCCAAGTATGGCAGTTTAAAAAAACCACTGAGGCCTGGAGGACATTTGTTAAAACACCACAGTACATGTGTCATCTTTTTTAGCTTCTCTTTAAAACAGTGGTGTCAAACATACAGCCTGTGGGCCAAAACCAGGCCGCCAGGAGGTTCAATCTGCCGTTTGTACATTTCAAACTTTAGCTTTACAACGCCGCTGCTGACCTGATACAGAGGAACCACAGGGTTGGTGACGGCGAAGATGAGGTTGATGTTGTTCTCCGACATCTTCTCTGTGATCAGAGCCAGAGAAGGGTAATCCTGTGGGGTCACAAAGGTCAGTGAGGTCAGAGAACGCACACGGACACACTGAAGGGTTCCTGGTGCACCTTTACAAACCTGAACATTCTACCAGGGACATTCTTTGTCAAACAGTCTCTCTGTGTTCAACACACACTTACCATGGTGGTAGACATGCTGTACACGTTGTCAGAGTCGAGGTGGCACTTCCCGTCGTTGGGTTGTACGATTCCTGCCAGTCGTCCATCCAGAGCCACGTGAGTTTTGGCATCAGAGGTGAAGATCAGGAGGTGGGAAGCACCGGGTCGCCATCCGATCTCATCCTGGATCCAGTTAAACCAATAATGTTGTCATTTTACTGTCATTTTTGTTTTATTGCCTACTGTAGTTCATCAATTAACAAAATCTGCATATGTACGCATGCATGACAAAGGAGAACAAGAATGCCAAACTGAGTCAGAGCCTCATCACCTTGCAAACAGCAGCCTGGATGATGGCATCAAAGCCTCCCTCTGGGGCATCCCGGTTTCTGGACACCATCTGCTTTTTCACCTCCTCTGCGAAGCGACTCACCTCTTCCGTCAGGGAGAGGACATGTTTGTAGCCGAACTGAGGCAGACAGGTGGTGTTGATGCTGTCAAACATAGGTCACGTTATTGATAACAGCCATTTATTATAACATAAATAAAACAACCGAATGTGCTACACAGTCACACTAAATATAGGAATACTTTTGATAGAGTATACTGGTAAATATAGGAATACTTTTGATAGAGTATATAGATATATTTTTTAACATGGATTTTGAACTAACTACCTCATTGTGCCAGCATCATGACTCATGACACATCATGAAAAGTCTTTAAAATGCATTAAACTGCAGATGTTGTTTCCCGTGAATCATTAGGTCGAGCGAGGTTGTTCAGCTCTGCCATGAAAACACTAAAACTCTCTGCTCGTATTGTGCTCTGCTAGGCTTAAATTAGACCAGCATTCTTTGGGGGCAGGATATTGGTGCACTTAAATGACCCCAAGGGACAGACAACATCACATACAGGGCACCACTGAGTGGCCTTTAGACAGGGTGAGATGCTGTTGCTCTCCAAGTGTGAGATTAGCGCTGGCTGAATCTGAGGAGCTGACCAAGCAGGAGACGAATGCTGTAAGCCTTTAACAAGGGCTGTGACAGTCAGTCTGACTGCATTTTAACCAGGGTAGTGCTGTGTTTAAAGATGTCCTGAGTCTAATGACATCATCTGGGTGATTTCGCACGCAGACATAAAAAGTTGCTGAGAACAACAGCAGTGCGTACCTGGTGAGATAAACGACTGCTTAATCCAAAACTACAGTACAATAAATAAACATCCCATTACTGAGGTCTGTGCTCACAGCTTAATGGAGAGGACCTGGTCCAGGAATACATTGTTCTTGCTGTTGTTGCCAAGTAGGATTTTTTTTTTTTAGCATTTTAGGATTAAAAAACATTTTAATCCAAAAGTTGATCATTTGTTTTGCCTTCATGCACAGAATTACAGACGTTTAGTATCACAATACAATTATTTATTCTTTTAAAAACGGACTTTAAAAATGGCTGCTTTGATTATTTTTCATTCAATGGTTTTTAATGATAGGATGTATTTGTATTATATTTTTATTAGTACTAGTGGTAGTAATTGAAGTGGTAGTAAATAAAGCCATGCAACCTTTAGTTAAAAAGTGAACTTGAATTCAAATCAGGAACCTTTTAGCTGCAGAATTTTAGAAAATGTCAGTGAAATTTTAAACAGCGGCGGTGAGGAGTTGTTGCATGATTCAACTTTGAGAGGTTGACATGTGTTTGCTGTTACCTGTAGCAGGGGTTCTTTACAGCTTCTTTGGGTGAGATGTACATGTAAGGGGACAGGGGCTTGTCCACGAAGGCCCCGAAGCCCATGCGCAGTTTGCTGGTGGTGCGGTTCATGGCCTCAGCCAGACCTTTGCCCAACGTTTTCAGGCGGAACAGGTCATCATTCATGGAGTGGGAGAGGTCCATGAGGTAGTAGAGATCCACAGGGTAGTCTTCTACCTGACGCACCTTCACTGTGAAGCGCTTGGCATCATCTAGGAAATCAAAGGAAAGACCAGGTTTAGATATCAATTTTTGCAGTATTTTCTGCAACATTGTCACACACATTACCAAACTAAAGACCAAACCTGGTCTGAGAGTGATGTGCAGCCTCTGTGGCTTTATCTGAGTGACGTCTTGTGTGGCCCCCGCTGCTTTGTTGCTGAGGGGCCGGTCTTCCAGCACCTGCATTCTGCTGGTTGGAGACTCCAGAGCTGATGGTGCGCAGCCTGCGGCCACCAGGTTACTTTTCAGGTCACAGCGGGAGGAAGTAGCAACTCCCTGACCAAAGTCCTGGCAGAAAAAACACAGTGAATAGGGAATTAGAATATGGGTCAGCTAAAACAGAAAGTCAACATCTGCATCCATTCATATCGTGGTCTCTCAGTACCACCCTGCCATGGTAGAATGCTTACTGCTTGAGTAAAATATACTAGGAAGAAGAGAACGTACCTCCTGGAAGCACCAGGCGCAGCTGGGGTGCACAGCCAGACACTGCTTACATGTGCTAGCTCCTCTGGACGTGCAAACATTTGAGGCTGAAACCAAAAAACAAGGCAGGGATTCTTCAAACTTTTTAGGCATTTCCTCCTGTTTATTCTCACCATTTTAGAAGATTTTAGAAGAAGGTGATTAGTAACTCATCATGTTGATATGCTCTATTTAATGATAAGAGTGTTGAAAAGAAATCTTAAACATGGGGTTGCGTACATATACTACCGGGTGGTCTTGAAGGTCTGACGCACATTTAATACACATTATTACTTCATATAAATCAGAGTATAACTTAAGTACATTCATTTTTTCCTGCTTTTCTCACTGTCAATGTTCAGCAGTGTAAAACACACCCAGGAGGTGGGAGGAGAGACACTCCTATGGACACCAGCTGCCAATAACCACCCAAAAGAGGAAAGCGGTTGGAGGAGATCCAGTGTCAAGACATAGAATAAATCTTAATTTGTATTGCTCTATTGTTTTTTTTTTCAGATGCAGCCCCTTTTTCTGTTGCAGCATTTTAATGGAAGATTTTTTTGAGACAAGAATGTTGTTGTGGCATTTCTAAATGTGTCATTCTTCTAAATAAGGCATATCATCAGAAGAACCTTGTTGTACAAGCACAGATCCACAGATCAACAGACACAGAATCCAGTGAAGTGAAGCCAACATCAGGTATTTATGCATTTTTCTGTATAAATGTATTTATTGTTTTTAGTTTAATAATTTTTCTCTCTGTATTTCAAGAATTATTCCGACTACGGCTGATTTTTCGGGACTGGACGATAACTTAACATCACATTAACACTAAACAAAAGAAAAACTATTTTTCTAACTTTCCATCTTTAGACCATGAATAGTAATGTGTCCACTGGTACACTGTGAAAACTTGCTTGTATTAGGGTAAATACAATATTAGAGTGAAAAACTTTACAGGACTAACACACTCCCCATTGTATCAAAGTAAATGCATATTTTGTACACAAATGAACAATTTCCCCTCACTTCAAAATTACAATATTCTCCCTTGTCAAATATCAAAAACACCATCCACGTGTAAAACCACTATCTTCCATGCTACGTAATAAATTTATTTGAGAACACAGGTTTAAACAGTTTGGGTTAAGTGGAAGTTTCAAAAGCAACAGGAATTCATCACTTCTCCCTTGAAACATATTCTTGGAAAATGCAGGCAAAAATATTAGACAAAGTATAACAGAACACAAATAATTACTCACCACATATGCCTGTTATTGCAGTAAAGAGGAAAACACACACCCAGAAAAGGCGAAGCTCACCCATCCTGGTGCAGACTGAGTGAGGAAAGAGCTGCCAAAGACTCTCTGCTGAGAGTACAAGGAGAGAGGGGAAGGGGGGGCTCCTATGGACACAACTCCAAATAGAGTCAAACATCTTGGAACCACCCCCTACTCTACAGTCACAACTCTCATTATTACACTTTAAAACACAGTGGGCGGTGCAGCGTAGCATCCACAGCCTTCAGTTTTCTTTGGTGCCATTATGTTGCTGTTATCTCGACTGCTTGTTGTGTGTTAAATCAACATAAAGGTATGAGCAGCACAGTGTAAGTTCAAAAGTAAAAGTTTCAGCACTTTATGGTGCAATTTTTTTTTTAATCAAATATGTATCTCTGGGGTACAGTGGGTTCTTCATAAATCTATCAAACCCAGTGTTTTTCAATCTTAGGTCTGTAACCCATTGTGGGTTTGCCTGGCATTGAAATGATGTCACCTGAAATGTCTGTTAATTAATAATATTGATAGATAAGTGATTAAAACACCACACACAGTCCTAAACAACTGTATTATTTTACTTCTGCTGTGTATTTGCAACACAGTACACCAAATATAGCTGAGAAGGAACAGGAACAATACACATAAAAAACACTGTAAATTTAAAAAGAATAAAACCAGAGAACAGAACAGACTTAGTTAAAAAAATGAAACAAGAAGAAGAAAGATTAAATATAAAAGCATTGGTATTAAACAAATTCATTTGAAAAATTATAATTTCAAGGTAAAAAGGAAAAAAATACAAATATACAAACAAAAAAAAAAAAAAACAACCCAGACGCTAGTGAACAGAATATAAAACAGTAAAGTGCTCTTGTCTGCCGACTGCTGCAGCGTTTTAGAGGTGAACGGCCCTTTAAACAATGATTCAAATACAATTTGACCTCGGCTCATAGGCAAAGCTCGAACAAAGCTGGCTTTTAATGACATATTCTACTCGTTTCATATCACTGCCAAAAGTCGCCCCCAGAATCTTAATGTTTGAAGGGTCAACACCACACATTTCCGAGTTTGTATAAACAACACAACCAGTTTTATCCTTCCTATATTATCGTCTAGCAATGGAGGTTACATTGACGCTGTAGGTGTAACGACGCAGAAACCACGAGGTCTGATAATATTTTCCAAACATGTATTTGTGTGTTTAGAGTTTTATACGTTCCATTTAATACATTTTACCTGACAAATATTGAGTCTCCACATGTTCACAGCAGCGAATGAGTCACACTAGAATAATTGAGCAAGGAGGACCTCTAGTGGCTGGCTTTGAACAAACCCCTCAGAATTGCTGCTAGAAGTAAACGGAAGCAGTCAACCTAAATAGTGGGTAATGTAGTTTCTCAAGAATGAGAAGCATATGGGGAGCATTTTTGTTTTGTTTTTTTCTTTACGTTTTTTTGTTTGGAGAAACAAACAAACAAAAAACTGGGATCAATAAAGTATATCTATATATGCATTTGCGACAAGGCGAACGATGGGGGGAGCTACCCCCTTTTTTAACAGTGTGGCAGCAATACGCTTCCGTAACAAACCACTGTAAGAGTTGCTGGCACCAGCAATCTGCATATTGTTCTACTTTTTATGACGGTTCTGGGGTACCTTGAACGCACCATGTTGTAGTGCACATGCGCAGTGTGTTCTGTCCCTTGTGTAGGAGCCGGCTGGTTTGGTCAGTGCTGGTCAAGTTCTATTCCGAGCAGTTTGTCATGCGTTATGGCCGACAACAGTGCTGATATCAGGTGAGATAATAAACAGCTTTGTGATGACTTAAAAGCTGCCTTTGTCTCATTCTACCGCTCCGCTACATTATGAAAGAGTTAACAGTTACGGGTACGGGAGGGGGAGTGAGGAGGCGTGGTGAGAGCGCGCGTGTGTGTGTGTGTAGAAGAGCGAGTAAGGAGAGTGTTAGAGGAGGAAACGAGGAGGAGTAGCTTTCGTCTACTAAAAGTAAAGGTGAAGCGAAGTGTTGAGTGTTTATCCAAAAAGTGTGCTTTGTGGCTCTGATACAGACGTGAAAATCAGTCACTTCCTGCTGCGGTCGCTGCAACTGGACACGGATGTAAACAAATCCAGAGCGGAAGTAACTCTTTAAAATAAAACGAGATAACAGAATATTGAAGCGTGAGGTTGAGATGAAAAGCCTTTTTTGAGGGCGAAATTGAATTTTAAACTATTAAAAATATGTTTTCAATCAATATATTTACCCTTTATTTACCCTTTATATTTACACAAATAAAGAAAGCATACAGTTTACTGTTAATATATAAGAAATTCTTTTTTTATATTTCTTTCTTAATTTTCTTCTGTTACACAGTAATTGTTTTTCTAAATCTGATTTTTGAAATCCATTTGTTTCTATTTACCTCACGTTTTGGCCTCGCTATATGTTCTATTAATTATGTTTTTTAATGTGAGTTTTTTGGTATCAATTCATCATCCTTCTTCTATAGAAACATTTGTAAAAACTTTAAACTTTGTAAAACGGGTGTCCGTCTTATTTCTTATTGTGGAGAGTCCTCTTCACTTCCATCTCCGGCAGTCCCTCCTTCTTGTGGGGAAAAAAAGAAAAGTCGAAAAGGCCCTAAAAGTTTGGAGGCTGGAGATTGTCCACGTTTACACCCTGCTGCAGACGCTGCTTCCCTCCCTCACTCACATCCGCGCGGTTGGACGAGAAGAACACGACAGTCGGCTGTCTGCACCACCTGCTGTTAAACTTGATTTAATCCCTATTTTTTTTTCCAGTAAAGATGTTTTCCTGCCGCCTGCTTTCACTCCTTCTCACCACACATCTATGCTGCTTCGTGGTCTCAAATCCCAGTCCTGTGTTGGGGGACGTGGTGGTGGACAGAGTCTTCATCCCTGCAGATTGCAGCAGACTAGTCAAAGACGGTGATTACGTTCGTTATCACTACAACGCCACGTTTGTCGACGGGAAAACGTTCGACTCCAGGTCAGTGTTTTTCACCTCTGTCACTCTGCCTCCAGTTTCTCCGTTAGTTTTTATTTTACGCACACGGGCCTCCTGTAGCTGTGCATAAAAATGTAGCAGTGCAGCCGAGCTGACGATGACGGCAGGTTTAAACAGGTTTGGTGTTTAAATGGCACAGGGCGTAGCAACAGGACAAGATAATATGTACCCCCGGGCTGAAAGGTAACTGGATGCCCCAGGAGAAGTTATCATTTCTCCAGATACTTGATGATACTAGATGTCTAAAATTGGATGAAATACTGTTGCCTCTTTAAAGGTACGTATATCATCCATACTAATAGTTTTGCGTTTTTACAAACGTACAGCCAACATATAAAGTCGTTGGGGCATGAAAAGTCCAAGTAATATGTTCAACTAGTTATTTTTATTATACCAAAAGATTAGTTTGTGAATGACCTTTTTTTTCACATACCTGCCTACAGAGTGAGTTTTTGTGATAGTGTGACGTTTTTTCTATGGAGTGATTTAAGGCAGGGCCACAAAGGGGGGACGGGCAGGGGCGGCAGGGGCGGAGTGCTACTCTAGCTCTACAGGAAGAAGATTACAGGTTCAGTCCCCAGGGTGACTGATTGTGGAGTTTGCGTGTGTGCATAGAGTCTCTTTTCAGGTGATCTGATTTCCTACAGTGGTCCAACAACGTGGCATTAGGTTATTTGGTTGTATCAATATCATCATCAGTTTGAAGGAGGGGGTGGGGAAAGTATTTACAAGAAACCTGCGGGCGTCGTTGAGTTTTTGTGATAGTGTGACGTTTTTTCTATGGAGTGATTTAAGGCAGGGCCACAAAGGGGGGACGGGCAGGGGCGGCAGGGGCGGAGTGCTACTCTAGCTCTACAGGAAGAAGATTACAGGTTCAGTCCCCAGGGTGACTGATTGTGGAGTTTGCGTGTGTGCATAGAGTCTCTTTTCAGGTGATCTGATTTCCTACAGTGGTCCAACAACGTGGCATTAGGTTATTTGGTTGTATCAATATCATCATCAGTTTGAAGGAGGGGGTGGGGAAAGTATTTACAAGAAACCTGCGGGCGTCGTGGAGAGCTAGCCCTGGTTTTCTGTGCTCCTCATCACATGGTTTTGTTTGTTGATGTCCAAAAATATAGAGATATAGAAAAAAATTAGAGGAAAAAAAAAGAGAAGCCATGTACAGATAACCAAAATAAACCAATGACGGCACTACGCCACCTGCAGCCATATTTCCATCAGTCTTTCTTTTTTACACTTCTTACTGTTTTTTTCCCTCCACAGCCACCAAAAAGGCGCTGCTAAGGTCGCCCTCATGGGTGAAGGTCGGCTGATAGCAGGAATTGATAAAGGTCTTCAGGGCATGTGTGTGAATGAGCGCAGGACCATCACCATCCCACCACAGATGGCTTATGGGAGCACTGGCGCAGGTATGAAAAAAAAAATCTTTTTAAATCTTGGTGTAATTAACAAGATCTCATTAGTATAAATGAAACACACTAATGGGTGTATTCTTTCAGGTGACGTGGTTCCTCCAGATGCCACTCTGGTGTTTGACATTGTTCTGTTGGATCTGTGGAATAAGGCCGACCTGGTTGCCACTAAAACCATCAGCACACCCCAGGACTGCAAGCGATCTGTGATGCGCACGGACTTTGTGCGTTACCATTTCAATGGCACGCTGCTAGACGGTACCGTCTTTGAATCCAGGTGAATTCAGTCTGTTTTTGTGGAGACAAAGTTCTCACACAATTATTCCTTTGTCTATTGTAAAATACACAGTGGTGTGTGTTTCTTTGTCAGCACACTCCAGGGTCTGAGACGAGATCCTGTCCAATTGACAGCTTTTGTGTTTTGTACTGTGTTGTGTCGTGCAGGTATTTTGTCTGTGTTGTGTTTGACTTTGAGCTTGTATGAGCCCCACGCAGCTACATCAGGAAGCAGACACAGAATTCATTGGTGGGCGAGGGGTGGCTGATCAAGGGCATGGATGAGGGCCTTCTGGGCATGTGTGTGGGAGAGATCAGAAATATTGTCATCCCACCCTTTAAAGCCTACGGAGAAAAGGGGTCAGGTGGGTGAAAACTTTTTTTCAGTAGTTGTACTTTCTGTACATATGACTAAAACTAATAAAGTTTTATTATTATTATTATTCATAACTATATTACAAGGCAATAATTATATTTATATTTTCAGTGGAAGAGAGAAGTGTCATGTGGCTTGATTATTTTCTGTCCAATAGGAACAGAGATCCCGCCCCAGGCGACCCTGGTGTACAATGTCCTGCTGGTGGACATCCATAACCCAAAGGATAACATCAGCATTGAGAACCAGGTAGTGCCTGAGTCCTGCACTCGCAAGTCAGTGGTCGGGGATTACATGCGGTACCATTACAATGGAACCTTCCTCAACGGAGAAACCTTTGACACCAGGTGAGCAGCATTAGGCTTAAAGTTATCGATAAAAAAAAAAAAAAAAATATATATATGGGTTATTGTTTCTCCTGGGTTTATGATTCTGGGGGAGGGGGTTAGGGTCTTTGAAGGGGGGGCAGCATGAAGTGTAAGGCCTAACAGAAAGGCATCATGTGTAACAATGATACTTTAGAACAAGGAGATATAATTATATATATATATATACTGTATATCCATTCATTTTCCTTTCCGCACAATGTCGCCGTCTACTGGCCAAAGTCAGCACAACCGACTGCTCTCTACAAGTGTTTGACCGTCGTCATGACAGATATAATCACAGCATTAGCATAAAACAAGCTGCTTTAGATATAAACATTACAACAGTAGCAAAATTATTAGGGTTAAGACGTTACCTGTTTTTAATCAGTGTTATCATTATTTATCGTTATTTTATTTTTTTATTGGGTTTTCTTCTATCGAACGATATCTATTTTATTCATGTTCCACAAGGGCAGTTTAGCGTAGGGACACATTTTATGAGGAATCTTGTTAGGAAATGCGTTCGGTTTTGCCCCGCCAACACTAAGGTCCGGCCAAAAGGTTGTCTGCCCTCCGGTGGCTAAAACGTGGAACCACATGTTTCATATCTATGTCAAAAGTTATTTAAATTATTCAAAATAATTATTCATTGTTTTGAGAATATGTTATTGATGAACTTTGAACGTTGTTGTATATTGTAACTGAAAAAACATATGTACATATATATACCAATTTGAACTACTGCACAAAATTTCTATGAGAAAATGAAGTAACATTGTACTGGCGATGCCGGTGTCTACTCACAGCTACCAAAGGAACAGCACATACAACACCTACATCGGGATGGGGTATGTGATCGCAGGCATGGACCAGGGTCTGCTGGGAATCTGTGTGGGGGAAAGAAGGAGGGTCATCATCCCTCCACATTTGGCATACGGGGAGCAAGGAGCAGGTGAAGATAATAAGATAATAAGTAATCAGTAATCCAGTAGTTGGGTGGTTTTTAAACTGTAAAATCTCCACAGGAAACGTTATCCCTCCCTCCACTGTACTGGTTTTTGACATCCTTGTCATCGACTTCCACAACCCTAACGATACGGTCAGCGTCCAGATCGTGCACAGACCTGACGCATGCAACGACACCGCAGCAGTGAACGACCTCGTCCACTATCACTACAACTGCAGCCTGATGGACGGGACCCTGCTCTTCTCCTCGTGAGTCACTCTCTCCTCGCACATCACTGCATTTTAAGAATGCTTTTTTTTTTTCTTTTTTTTTTTTAAATCCTTGATTTTTGTCATTGTTATGCCGTTTCCAGACACCACTATGACAACGACCAGGAAGTTGTGCTGGGGTCAGACAAAGTCATCGATGGACTGGATTTAGGTCTGCAGGGCATGTGTGCAGGGGAGAGGAGGGTGGTTACTGTGCCACCTCACATGGGCCATGGAGAGAAAGGAGGTGAGATAAATTGACAACTATTGTCATAACAATTGAATAAAATGTAGATAAATATCAAATAACTTTTCCTACTTTGAAAATATGAGCTATAAAGGAGACCATGTTGACTAACGTTGCCTTGAAACCTTTTATGTTTCCCAGCTACTGGTGTGCCGGGCAGCGCAGTGTTGGTTTTTGAGCTAGAGCTGGTGAGTTTACAGAAAGGAGTCCCCCCTGGTTACATGTTCGTGTGGCTTAATGACACACCTGAGAACCTGTTTGAAGCCCTGGACACCAACAAGAACAAGGAGGTTCCACTGGAGGAGGTAGGGTTCTTCTCAAGACAGAGATGATGACTGCGACCAGAAAACATCGTCTCCGACTAATACTGTTTCATTTTCTCACCCTGTTTAGTTTGGAGAGTTTATCAAACAGCAGGTGGAAGATGGGAAAGGTCGCATAAAACCTGGCCTGACTATGGAGCAGGTTGTGTCTGACATGTTCCGAAACCAAGACCGAAACAAGGACGGTGTGATCACAGATGAGGAGCTCAAGCTGAAGGTGGAGGAGGACAAGGAGAGGTTGGAGATGACGCATGAGGAGCTGTGATAAGGACTTGTGTTTTTAGCACTCGCTCTCAGGGAACACCAGAATATGGGGGAAAAAAACATTGAGAGACTTTTTCGTCGACATAAAGGTTTTATATTGCACAGGTTTCAAAATGGCAAGAAAATGTAAGTTTTGTATTTGTAGAAAATCAAACAAGCACCTTTATTTGTCCCTGAAGTCATTAAAATGTTAATTGGAAAACGTGTTTTAGTAATTTCACATTGATTGTAAAATGTAGCACTGCTGTAGCAGTACTGTTGTCCATGTCTAAACAAGTTTTGTTTCCACAGTCCACTTTAGAAGGATGCACAGTGTGCACACATATGTACATATACATATGTACATATTACAGTGTGCACATATTTGTACACATATGTACATGTACATATATATACATACATACGTACATACATGCATATACATATATATGCATATATAAATATACATGTATATACATATATCACATGAAAGCATCACTGTTATTCTCACAATTTTGACACAAACTGGTGTTGTATTGTACTCAGCACTGAGAGTTGAATTTGATTTACCTTTCATTTCCACGTTCAGAAATGTGTTAACAAGTGTCTGCAGCAGTAACAATACTTACTATTATTTACATATTGTTCTTGTAAAATAGCGAGAGACAAAATTGTTGTAGTGCTTTTATTGTATATTTGCACAGTTACTACACAGTTACAAAATATGTGTATTTATACATATGGGCACACTTACGCCAAAATTTCACTTGTGCTTAACACTGTCAACAATGAATTTTAATGTATTTTCTTTTAGATTTTTTTTTTTTGGAAGATCAACAGCTTCCATAAAATAATTTACTTACAACTCCTGACTACAAGTAGGTCAAAAAATGCTTTAGTCCCATTGACTATCCCAGTGACTACAGCTGACAGGCACTTTGAACAGTAACATAAAAACTGAACTCTGCAGTCACAGCACAGAACAAGACAAATAAGACAATAATCAGTTAGTGCGGTTAACACATTCAAAGAACACAAAAATCCAATACTGAATTTCTTAATCACCGTAGATTTCATTCGAAGTGGATTAGGTGTTAACAAACCCTAACCAGGCAGATAAGGTCAAATATCTGACTCAACATTCGATTTGAGACTGAAACTGCCTCCACAGAGAAATGGTGCGGTGATGTAGCTGCTCAATTTGCTGCCTTTGGTACCGCTCACAAGCTAGGTTCAGCGGCACCGGGTAGTTGGGGCGGCCACGAAGATACTGGTAGGGAATACGAACATGGCAGGCCGCTGCCCGGTAGCGGGGCCGAGGTAAGGGTGGTAACAGCATCCAGCGCTTCTTCTTGCCACAGTAACGGTACACCTCCTTGCAGTACTGCTTGTACATGATGTTGTTATTCCTCCAGCCACCGATGATGAATATGTCTTCACCCATGTAGCAAATGGCTGCCCCCTCCAAACCAAGGACCTCTGGAGGGAGGCTATGGAGAATGTCATCTGGAATGTTTCTGCTTATTTTCTGCTGCGCTGCCTCAGCTGTGACCATGTAGTTTTTGGGGCAACAGGTGGCAGTGTGGTAGAAGTTAGTGGAGCCCACGGCCATTTGAAAAGTACAGTAGTTATCGATGAGCGGTAAGGAGTCCACGTCCTGCCACTTATGTCTCTCCGTATCGAAGCAGGTCATCACGGTGCTCAGTCCGTCGTCGTGGTCCAAGTCCACGGGTGTTCTGGCCACCACGTACACATATCGGTCCTCTACACTCACTGTTTTCACATCCCTGAGGATCTTTGGTGCTGGCTCAAGATTATGCCACTCATTCACCTCCGGCTCGTAGACAGAAACATCCTTAAAGCCCGGACTGAAGTTTCCATGTCCACCAATACAGTACAGTGTGTCTTTGACACACGTCAGGCCGAGGGCGTGTTTGCGCGAGTCTAGATTGCAGACCTGCTCCCAGGTGTTGAGGGTGGGATTGTAGCGCTCTACCATCTTAGCAAAGCCGGGCTCCGTTGAGCCTGCCACATAAACATGGCTATCTGTCACTGCGATGGCGTGTCCGTCAAGGTGTGTGTGAATGCTTGGCAGGTTGACCCAGCGGTCCTCAGCAACAAAATAGCCCACACATTCACTCACATACTCTCCGCCGTCTGAAACACCGCCGACCACCATGATTACGTCCATGATCTGACCGAAACGTGGCTGATCAGCCAACATGCCGCGGGCCTCTGCATTAGCTGCTTGATAGCTCTCAAAGTAAATGGCATGAGCCTCTAGAGTGTCAGACACCAGCTTGAGACACGAGTCGCTTTTGGCCACTAGAGGTTCCTTTCTTACCTGCATCAGAAAGGACGGGGGGATCTGTGACAGCCTCAACAGCCTGAACAGCTCTTCAAAGTGCTTTTCTCGACCCTCCAGGTTTTGGTGCACCCACCGCACGATGGCCTCAAACAACTCTTGCTCGGACTCTACAGCGATTCCTGTGTCCGACAGGCAGTCCCGCAGCAGGTGAAACGGTATTGTGAGAAACTCCTTATTGTTGATAACTTTGTGGAAGTTCATTCTAATGGTCCTGCCAGCTCCTGCAGCCAGGTGGTCCAGGGTGTACATGTTAGCCAGGTTGTGCACGGCAACACAGTTGGACAAATTCAACTTGTTCATCAGAAAGTCTCCGCAGAAGCTCTTCAGCTGCCCCAGCAGGAACCTAGAAGTATGAATAAGTCACAGTAACTAACCAGTCAACAGAGTAACAATCAATGTATGAAAAAAAAGTATTATCATTATATAACATTGTCCCTGAGAGATTTTGACATAAAATTGTCTTTGACATTGAGACTGATGGGATTGGCTCCAGTCTGTCAGTAGCCGGAAAAGGATTAAGGTAAATAAATTAATGGTTACAAGAAGCTTCAATGGAGTGAGATCCTGCCAGAGCAACCAAAGGTTAATTCCCAACACTGAAACAAGCAGAGCAGCCACACAGAACAATGAAGTTGATCTTCCGGAAGACTGTTGACTGTTGACACTGTAAATAACAAACACAAAAGCAGATCCACCAATGGGGGTACTGCAGGAATGTTTACGGCCTAAGGTAACAAACACAAAAGACAGAGGAGAGTGTGGCAATACTGGCATTACCGCTTCCAAGAACACTGTTTCGAATGAATGAGAAAGTAAATAAATTGTGAATGTCTATAAAAAAAAAAACATTAGGCCAAATTATAATTATATTAAACAATGTCCAGCCAAAATGTGAATGGTTTAACTTGTTGTGCTACATGCTGGATACGTTTTAAAGAACACAAAAGAACTTAAAGAACAGAACTGGTAACAGAACGTCCCAACAAGAGGACAGAAAGTAAGAAGACAAAATGATTGCAAGTATGTACTTACAAATTAAATGCAAATTAGCACTAACATAAAATAGCTGCAAGCACAGAGAAGCAGATTGATATGACATGAGTCATGACCACAGAGAACATGACAGTGACGTGTGTTCTCTATGTGTGGATGAATAACCGATATTTAAAAATAGACAAGATTTAAACATCTGTGTCTGCAGCTATTAAGATGACTCTGAGAATGTATAATCCTTTAATTGTTGTTCAATGCCTTTAATTGTTTGTAGGTTAAGGCAGTTCTACAATAGTCACAATAGTCTAGACCATTGGTTCTCAAATTGTGGTACACGTACCACCAGTGGTACGTGATCACTCTCTAGTGGTATGTGGGGGAAAATTCATGTTTTCACCTTTACATTTTCAACTGAATAAATCTGAAACATACCATGCACAATAGTGGCGCTTTGGCCCAGAGGCAATGTCTCTGTCATTGGTGTTGAACCCCAGGGTTCACCTCCTGGGCAAGTTCGAATCCCGGTTAGGGCGGTTGGTACCTTCCAGTGGACTCACCACCCGCAGGAAGGTTTGGTACGGTGCAAAGTGATTTGGGTGGAGACTACTGCCTCCACGACCCGGTAACGGATAAGTGGATGAAAATGGATGGATGGATTGACCATGCACAATGAATACAACAATTAAACATAAACATCTTTCTAAACATCTCTCCTGTGGTGGATGCTAACAGTGAAGGCCTATGCTGTTATATTCTAATGTTGATCATCATGGTGGGACTCAGAGAATTTCTCAGGTGGTACAGAGTAGAAAAAGTCGGAGAACCACTGTTCTAGACAAACCCACTTTCTCCCTTTCCGCTGAGAACTCTTGTTCTGGGCCTGTTCTACAGGTGTGCCCGCTACTAAAGTCACGCCTGTTGATATAAATAAGTGCCAAGGTGTGGTTTATTGGTTGCTGACGACCAAGTCCTTTCACTTAAAACAAATAAAAATGTTTGTTTACATTGGTGCTCCTTGTCATTCTTTATCTCACCTGTCAGCGAGTTCCAGCACTTGGTGCACATTAGCCGTGGTGACTGTTATCTCTCCAGTATACATGAACTGAATGACACTCCTCACAGTCTCTGGGTCCAGTCCTTTTTCACAGCCCCATGACTTGAGCTCCACTCGACCAGACCGAGACTCTGCGAATTGTCCGCCCAGCAGCACCGTAAAGTAGTGCGACGCCGCCGATAAAACCGTGCGGTGAGCGGTTAAGGTCTGGACCCTCTTCCCGCCGAGCCCGGAGCAGAAGACCAGCGTAACGTCGCAGAACAGTCCCTCCTTCCTCTGCTCATTCTGCCGTCGGGAGAGGTCCGAGCAGTAGGCCGAACAGGAGAACTCTTCCTCGGCCTCCTCAGCTTCTCCGTCATCCGGTAGTTTTCCCTGTGCGTCACCTACACTGCTCCTGCAGTAGTCCTCTGGTTCTTCTACCAGTACAACTACGGCTTTCGCTGCTGCCATGGTGCAGGAAAAGCACGTAGGTCTCAGGAGCAAACCAAAGCTACGAGCTATCTTTGGGAAACACTTAAAGACATCGAAAACACAGGTGAACAAAACGTCCAAGACTGTCATACATGCAACAATTTCTAAGCCTGGGCTGAGTAAAAAAGTTTACACAGGCGGTGTATGTGATCCCCCGCCCCCTAACACCAATTGGCCAGCTCGTTGACAGCTCAGATGTGATTGGTAGTTGGTCAGGTTCGTCAGCACAAGAAACAAACGAAATGACGTCAATCACAGATGACAGTTGACTTGCTGATTTAGAGTCAGTTTTGAAAATTAAGCTAACAGAACAATGGTTGTGCAGAGGCTCTGAGAGCTGATTTCTGATCAGCAACTTTTAGTCAGTGGCCGCGCCCATGCAGTTTATGGGAGAGGAGCTTCCGTGAGCGCCCTCTAACACCTGATGCTGCTGATCAGAACATCAGGCGGTTTGCATTTTAGCGACGTTTGCAGCGACATAGTTAATCGCTGTGTAGATATAATACAATACAATATAGTGAACCCTCTAAGTCAGGGATTCCTAAAGTGTGAGAAAGCTGCCACTCAGGAGTGCACGAGATTTATTATTATTATTATTATTACTACTGAAGCTGCCACTCAGGGGTGCACGAGATTTTTTATTATTATTATTATTACTACTATTACTACTACTACTACTAATAATAATAATTTTAGACTGGTAACTTTACTTGAACTTAAGTCAAATATCATCTGGGTTTGTAGTACTTTTACTTGAGTAGAATATTTTAGCACTCTTTTACTCTTTCTTGTAATTTTATGCAAGTCTCAACTTCAAGTTCTGTCGCCAATGTCAAGGACCGTCTGTATTGTGATGTTCTAATGTATTGCTCTTAAATACCATTCCTTTTAGTTAACTTTCAACCTGTTTGGCAATGTCGCATACTAAAAATTGTAACATCAAAAATTCATTTGTTTCTTCTATTCATTTCTAAAATGATCTTTTTTAGGTAAGTTCTCCTTCCCGCATTACAAAACATGTACACTAGTCTGACCACATGTAAAAAGTGAAATGTTTACTTATCCAGAGAATCTTTAAGACCACGCTACACCAGTGTGAAAAGTTAAACAATAACCGTTTATTACACTGTATGGCTGTGTAGTACAAAACCGTGTTTATTTATCACAGTTAAAATAAAGAAAACCGAACAAGCGGGTCACCAGGTGAGGAGTAACAAAGCATTTGGAGTCTTCAGTGAGTTATCTTAGAGAAAACATTCAGAGTACATGTAAAATCACATCACCTCCCCCACCAAAAAAAGCACACTACTATTATGGTCCCTCTCCAAAAGATTCTTTCAAGACTCATAGGGCTCATTCATGTAGCCTTTCTTTGATTCCTCTTCTGATGCTTCTATGTTTCGCTGTCGTCAACACAGTTATTCAGATTAACAACACGGGTAGATCCACTGACTTTGGTGTACCACAGAACTTAGCCCAATTTACAGCAGCTGGAGAAGTTTAACCACTGCTCTGCCATTCAATTTCGAACAGGTTTTATTTATTTTATTTTTTATTTTTGGATTTCATTCAATGCTTCCTTCTCCAAAGGTAAATGCTGGTCTACCTCCCACTGGATCTGATTTAACTTCTTTAAAGTAAACATTAAGATGACTTTGGTTTAACATTTAGGTTTCTCAGTAGAAGCAAAGGTGAAAGAAATACAGTATGACGACTCACAGTAAGTCTTCAAAGTATAACGTGTTTAACCTGAGGTCTGAGACTCAGAAAATTAAGTGTCGAAGGGCACACTTTGTGGCCTGAAACAAATAGGTGATTCAAATTAAATCAAACTTATTATTATTAGTATTATTACCATGAATGTATTACAATTTAATTAAATTCCATTACAAACCGGAGCCCGACTTCAAGCAGGTTTCATCCCAACTATGTAAACCACAGTTCGTAACCGTAATATTTCCATGAAGACACAACATACAGTCAATAAACTGTCATGTAATAAATGTCATTTATGTGATGATGTAGTGCTGATGTTTACAGGGCAGAGCACTCACACACATCTGTGTAGCTGTACCATTTGTTTCAAGAGCCTTCACTGCTGTGGTACATTGAAGTACGGTAGGAACCTGGGGAACTGTATCCTGGTGTACTGTATTCAAAATAGTTTGGAATTATTTAGTCCAATTATTTTAATACTAAAACTAACCCTATCAACATTTTTATTCAAATGATGCTCTAAAACCCTAACCTCCAGGATGTGCTGTATGACATTTATGACAGCCCTACATTGACATGTTCACAGAGAGGTACTTGTGCTCAACCATCATTTTCCTTGGTCTGACACCACCATGTTGCTCTGCAATATCAGAGCTTGCATTGGATTGGCTCGTTTTCCAAAACTGAATAAGTTCATTTGTCAAAACTCTTTGCAAAAATATACTAGCCAACAATGTATCCATAAAAACTAGCTTGAAGAAGTTTTTCCCCCACGCACAATATCGCAGCCAAACTTTTACTCTACCTTCATGTCCTTCAGCTCTTTTTGACTACGGAAGGCAGCTGTTGTCATAAGTGTAGAGATATAAGCCGAGAGAAAGGGTTTGTCTAAGAGTGACCACACATCTTACATGGACATGTGTTCAGGAAGCACGTAGGAGATGTCGTCCCACGGGTGACGGTACAGACCCTGTTTCAGCCTCTTCTGGTCCAGGTAATGACCTGAAACGGCACACAACAGATCATTTCTGATATATCTAGCACCATGACGTTAGGTTCAAGGCTAAGACTGAACAACACTCACCAATAAAGCCCATGCTTCTGCCCAGGACGAAGATCCCATTTAGTGCACCGATTTCCACAAACTCATCAGCCTCATCTCTGGATGCAGTCAAAGTTTAGGAAGCACATTGTAATTAAATGTGCTTTGTTTACTTGAGAAATTACATTGAAAAAATGGATCACACCAGTCTGTATTCTTACCGTGTGAATCCACCACATGTTCTGAGCAGGTCCACGAAGGCAACACCAATCAGCCCATCCACATTGAGGATCAGGTTTGGTTTCTGAAAATAAAATTAGGCAGAGTTTTAGGTTATGACTAAAGAATAGGTTCAATATAGTAAAAAAAAAAAAAGTCAAGTTGATATAAGTACTAGGAATTTTAACTAATTTTGTTCACATACTAAATTGCAAAAATAACCACAATTCATAGAAATGAACCCAGAGATAACTATTACAGAGGGGTTTGTACTCTATTGTACAGTAGTTCATAGACGCAGGCACATGGAGGCAGTAATGCACCAGTTGTTTACCACCTCCTCCATGAGCCAGTTTGCCAGGCAGGAAGGTACAGCCATGGGGAGGAAAAACCTGATGGCCCCTTTTTCTGGTGCAGCACATTTTAAAACAGAAACATTTCTGACTTCACTACCTTAGAGGTTGTAATTTTCTCAACATCCAAAGCATAATCGAGAAGATGACAGGAGGGAAAATGCTGCTTCACAAAGTCCTTCAGAATTTGAACTCGCATGTCAGGGTTATTGATCTGGAAGAAAATCAAAAAGTTGTTTATATGGATGAAATTGTTTTTCTTATCACTCACTTCAGAAAAGGAAAAAAAACAGGGCTGCATACTGATTTGACTCTGTGACCAATGCCCATGATCAGCTTCCCGTCCTTCTTCATCTTGTTGACAAACTCCATAGGCAGCATGCTGCTATCAAATGCTTTGCTGAATTGCTTTGCGGCTGCATCCAGTGCACCACCGAAACGGTCGCCCTGGAATTTAGGACCAAGTAGTTTAATAAATATACTGCTCATCTATTTTCTTCGTGTGTGTGTAAAATCGTGACTAACAATTGTGAGCAGTCCAGAGGTGAGGCTTGAAACAAGGTCTTTCCCTGCACGAGCACAGACAATAGTATTGTGTGCACCAGATACAGCTGGCCCATGATCTGCCGTCACCATCAGGCACATTTCAATAAACTGGGAGGCGTAGCGTGGTAATCTAAAAAAAAAAAAACAACAAAAAAACAAAAAAGATATTAAACCAACTGCAAGTTATATTTTTATAACGTCTTATTGTAGTCATAGGCTAACTCCTTGGGCTTTCTAAACTGGCCCGACAAACACTTGCATCTGTTTCATGCATTGCAATTACTTGATTGTAATTTCCCTTATTGCCACAAGAGGACGACAAACATCAAATATCCTAAATTTTCTTTGAAGGTTTACGTCTAATCCTGTACATTTGATTTATATGATTTTCCCCAAACATTCAACATCCAACCAATACTGAACTGGCCCACCAAATTTTCAAATTTAATTTGGCCTGTGAACCAAAACGATTACCCACCGTGTCTTGGTGAGAGATCAGTAACAGTTGTCCATCACTGTCACACTAACCTGCGCTGGAACCAGAGTAACCCCAGCACACCTCCCAATCCGATCTCCTCTTTGAAGACCTCAGTGATGGACATGCCGGCATAGATGAGTTCTTGGCCTCGCTCGTCACAGATGCTTGTCATAAAGGAGGCTGGTTTGCGGATCAGTCCCAACTCCTGTCAAAATTCCAGCAATAAGAGAGGAATTAAGAAGAATGAGATCAGCACAACGCAACAAGAAAATACCTATTGGCCTTGGATGATTCATGAAGTAAAACAAAGCCATAATAAATCTTACCCGTGCCCATGAATAATCCATGGGTACTGTCGGAGGAGGAACCTCTTCAGCTGGAACTATGGTGCCGTTGGCTACCAAGTCCTCATAAACTGTCCTGTTTTAAATGTTTACATACAAAAACCTTCAGTGAGTCCAAAGTTCTAAACACAAAGAAGTGATTGACATGTGAGTCTGACAATCCACTAACCTAATAACATCCCCCAGCTCATCAAAGCTCTTGGGAACATAAGCTCCAGCATCTCTTAGAGCCTGGTTCTTGGCCACCGCAGTTTCTGAAGCTTCGTTGGCACAGGCGCCAGCATGGCCAAACTGAACCTGGTGATAACAACATTTGAATTAATATTAGAAAAAAAATAGACCTTTTTTCAGAATACTTTATATATTTTTCTGCACAAACCTCTGAGGCAAACATGGTAGCGCAGGTTCCAATACACCAGCACACGACAGGCTTGGTGATCCTGCCCTCTGTGATGCCCTGGCAGATCTTGTACTCCTCAGTCCCTCCCACCTGTGTTGTTTTAAAATCAAATGATATGATAAAAAATGATTTAATATGATTTTACAGTTTAAAAAATTATACAAAAAAAAAAAAACATGAACATCGTACCTCTCCTAGTACCACTATCATCTTAATGCCTGGAGTGTCCTGGTAACGGAGAACGTGGTCCATGAAGGTTGAGCCTGGATATCTGCGCAGGAAGGAACAAATATTGAGAGTTAACAGAAACAAAACTCATTTAAAACCTGGGTTAGACTCCAACATCAGCGATGGTTCACCTGTCTCCTCCGATAGCCACTCCTTCATAGACACCGTCTGTAGTGCGTGAGATGATGTTGTTCAGCTCGTTGGACATGCCCCCTGAGCGGGAAACATAGGCCACACTGCCTGGACGGTACAGCTTGGAGGCCAGGATGTTGTCCAGCATACCACCGGTGTTACCAATTTTAAAACAACCGGGCTTGATGCCACCCACCTGGGAATAAAAAAAACATTGGTGACTTTGATATGATAAATATTTAATCGTTGGGTAAAACACACGGATGCACTAGATGACAGCCAAGACACGACATGCAAGACTCCACTCCTTCATACCGTGGCAGGCCCAATGATTGTGACTCCTTTTTCGTCAGCCACCTTGATTATTTTCCTCGTC